CCTTTGTCAATTGCCTTACTATCATCCTTTTGGTAATAGCCATACCTCGTCGGTTCAACCTAGCATGCATCCTTTTGCTGTAGGTGGCTTTCAAAATTGGGAAATTTCTATCATCCTTTTGGTGGTAGTAACTTATGTGTGTCGCTCCATCATCCTTTTGGTGATGGGTCTGTCATCCTTTTGGTGTCAGATTATGCGAGTGTTGCTCTGCCATCCTTTTGGTGATAGTAGCTGGTGTGAGTATGCTCCATCATCCTTTTGGTGATGGGTCTGTCATCCTTTTGGTGTCAGATTGTGCAGGTGTTCTATCATTCTTTTAGTGATAACAACCTGCGTGTGTCGCTCCATCATCCTTTTGGTGGTGGATCTATCCTCCTTTTGGTTCCAGATTATGCGAGTGTTGCTCTGTTATCCTTTAGGTGGTAGTAGCTAGTGTGAGTTTGCTCTATCATCCTTTTGGTGATGTGTATGTCATCCTTTTGGTGCCAGATTGTGCGAGTGTTGCTCTACCATCCTTTTGGTGGTAGTAGCTGGTGTGAGTTTGCTCTACCATCCTTTGGTAGTAGTAGCCTGTGTGAGTTTGACCTATCATACTTTTTGTGATGGGTCTGTCATCCTTTTGGTGTCACATTGTACAAGTGTCGTTATATCATCCTTTTGGTGATAACAACCTGTGTGCGTGTCGCTCCATCATCCTTTTGGTGATGAGTCTGTCATCCTTTTAGTGTCAGATTATGCGAGTATTCCCTACATCCTTTTTGGTGTTAGGGTTGTGTGTGTTTCGCTCCATCATCCTTTTGGTGATGGGTCTGTCATCCGTTTGAGTGTCAGATTATACGAGTGTCCCCCATTAACTTGTATTCCACTTCCCAAACACTTCCTTTCTTTTCGGACAAATTCAGGGTTTTCTTTATATCTAATTGGCTTATACCTCGAAAAATGAATGCCGTAGAAATTCATCTTATCCGGTTTGAGCCAATTAGATAGGGGCATCTATCATACCCCAAATTTGTCCTACCTGTATATCACCTTCATCTGTACATCTACCCACCAATTGTTATTCAGAAAATTCAAAAATAGTATGTTGCTTATGTTCCTGGTCCAAACTCAAGATATCTCAGAGTTAAGATGAATTGATTATCAGTGTGAATTTTTGGATTCAGTGATGGCTGATGATCAATTAGGTCTGACTTAATCTTGGTCAAACAATTTTGTGGTAAGGTCAAGGCCTGAGCAATTGATTCAAGTAGTGTGCTGGAAGTTTTAATTAGGGTTCTGGTGCCAATACAAGTCATCTGTTGTGGATTTAAATATCAGGTTGTGTCAAGTTCGTAGATTAATTCATTAATTGGTTCATTTTCTCAAGACTCTGGATTGAGTTATGCTCATTCTTGAGAAATTAACTCGAGATGCTAAGTATTCTACATGAAAATTTTGGGATATTTGGTTTGCAAGCATGTAAGTTCAAGTAAATATCATTCAAAGCCCATGTCATTTTATTTTGCAATTTGCAAAGCTCAAATTATTTTTGTCAAAGTCCATTAGAATTTCATTTACAACCACGAACCCATTTACATTTAAAAAATTACCAAAAATCCTACAAAAGCCCAAAAAGAGAAATACTCACAAAATGTCCATTTACCAAACAAGGCTATACATGTACATTCAAATTCCCAAAAATTTTCAATTCATTTTACATTGTCATAAAGCCCATTATTGTTGGGTACATTCACAAAAATTCATTACTAATCTCTCAAGCCCAATACAAAAATGTATGAAAGTTCATTTACAATGAAGAATAATGTCTATTACAACAAGTCCATGCAAAGTTTTCATTATCCTATGAGGCTCATAAGCCCATTTAACTACAACAAGAGTGATGATGAAGTAACAATATGTTGCCAAGACCAACTTGCATAAAGAAGTACAAGTCGCGCCTCACAATTCTTGAAGGCAGCAACCTGCGGCCAATTTTGATTCAAGCAAACCCAACTCACTAACGCGCAACACACATGGAACGACAACAACAACAAAATTTCACAAAACAAAATTGCTGCAACATTCCTCACAAATCCAATATAACTTCTCAATACATTTATAGCAGTGAAGTTTATGTTTCTTTACATTTTCGTGTAGTTGATTAAATTCGTTATGAGCTATACCTATGTGAAATCAAGGATTAATGAATTGACTACTTATGTTTGCTTAACTAGATTGCTTTTCATTGTTTATATGTGTTATGTATGTTGCCTTGAGCCCAAGTTTGCCTACATAAAAATAAGATGACATCTGAGGTCGTGATCGGAGGTGTTTAAGACAACACCCATGGAAATAGGCGCTTTAGTCATAAACCTATGGTGTTTATGACAACATCCATTAGTTATGCACATCCTTTGTCATCATAAAGAAGAAAATTTGGTGGAAGTTTTATTTATTTCCACTTAAGAGATATTACACAGTGATGTGGAGTAGATTGTACACATGTGAAATAAAGATATTTAACTAATCAACTATGTCACTCCTTATTGATCTTTGGGCATTTAGGTACGATGTATCGTGTTCGGCGTTTCCCTTCATTCATAGTTGTCTCTTACAATTATCAACTTAAAATGATTTATGACATACTCAGTGAGAATATTGTCCCTTTGATGAGCAATCATCGTCTCTTCTAATTGTCTGTCAAGGAGGATCATGTTGACCCCCATTGTGTTTTATTCACCTTTCTCATTCATGTCACGCTCCAAAGTTTTATGTATCATTTGAGCTCTAGATAGATAAAAACATAATGTCACTAGTTTGTCATGGAAATCACAATATTTCATCTTTAGGTGGATTGAAGAAGCCAAAACTCAGCAAAAGGGTCTTCTAGTCTATCTCCTCGTATTATTCACTAAATGGAATCTTACTATCCTCAACACTGTCCTCACTTGCAACATAATCCTCATTAATACTCATTTCATTATAAACTTCAACATTTTAACCGTCAACACATATAATCATCACCACTCATATCTTTAACCTTTTCATCATCAACTTCAACATTCTGACCATCATCCACGTCACCATCACCAATTATTTCTTAACCTTTTCATAACCAACTTCAACATTCTCACCACCACCCACATGACCATCATCATTCCTTTCTTCAACATTTTCATCATCAACCATATTACCAACAACAACATTTTCAAAGTTGACTTCAACATTTGCACTTCTAAAACCAATATATTGTACATCATTTGAACTCCTAAAACATCCGGGACCATAAGTTTACATAGAAAAATCACAGTGGACTACATGTTAGCATTTGCGACTACATAATAACATAAAAAATAACAGTGACACACAAAGGGGACAAGATAACACACCTTAAACAAAACTTCAATTCTTTACTACTATCGAAATGCCCAACTGCTATCTTCACGAACTTCGATTCCCAAGAAACAATGATTACATATACGGTTTGCTTGAGGAACTATGGCGATTGAACTTCGCTCGAGCAACAATGGTGATTGAACTTCAATTTAGCAACAATGAGGAACTGAAGACAGGGGATTAGGGAAATGATGGATTAAAGTTCTTCGTATTTTCTAGAAACGAGATATTAGGGTTTTTCGTGTTTCCTTTGACAAATTAAAGTTATACTAATTTTTATTTAAAATGAAATATAAAACATTTTTATTGATTTACAATGTGAAAACAAGTAACTTGAATAAAAAATTGAAAGAAATCTAACCTGACTCCACTATACAATTGCCACATCATCAACATGGATGCCAATTATGAAAAACTGGAGGAGAACCAACTAAATCTCAAGTAATGTGAAGTTCAGAGACAAAAAAATGATTTTTAAATGGAAAACTAAAAGTTTAAACCATCAAATTAAGAAAACCAAAAATACATTTAAGTATATTTTTTATCGAGTAAAATGCATACGAATATTTAAGATAGTTCTCTCTCTCTCTATATATATATATATATATATATATTTGATAAGTAATCTATATAATTTTTATTTAATGAATTTTTAATGAAAAACGTTTGGAAACTAAAACATTATGTACTTTGAGTTTTTAATAAGGATGACAACGACTAGTTATGAGTAGAATAATATAATGCCCGTTTTCATATTCGTAGTTTGAAATTTTTTTCGTACTCTAATCCATACTCGAGTATGCATTAATATTTGTATCCGTAATCGTATCTTATGGATACTTAAGTATCCGTATTCATACCCGTTTATCCGTATATATAATAAAAATAATTGATCAATTATATATTTATAATGTAATTTTAAATTTTTAATAACACTAAAAAAAATTATTGTTGAATTAAAAAAATAAACAAACATTTATATAAAAATATATACCAGTTCAATAATAATGTATTTAATAAAATTGATATTGTAAGAATATAAGGCGAAATAGGTATTTAGATATCCGTATCCATGTTAATATCCATTTATTTTGATAGGTAATTGTCCATACCCGTACTATTTTGTAGATTTTTATCCTACTTATTATAGATAAATTTTGCGAATATCATCTAATAAAAATAAATCTAATTGTCATTCCTAATTTTTTATAAAAAAATTAAATCATCAAAATTACATTAATTTTATGAATAAATAAAATTATATTGATATACGCCATTTCTAATAATAATGGTTATAATTAAAATTACATAAAAAAAATTGGTTATAATTAAATATATATGATATTAGTTGCACCAAAAAATGATATTAACGTTGCACCAAAAAATGAATAAGAGAAAAAGACATTAACGCTAATAGTTAGTATATCAATTAATTAATTAATTGATGTAAAGGGTATGGAAGGTGAGAAGTTAAATATTTGGAAGTGGAGGCAATAAAGCACAATGGCGCGAAACTCTAAAATTTCACTTTCCCTTTATCGTTTATATTCCTTTTTCCATTTTCAATTCCTCTCTACCACTAATTAGGGTTCCTCATTTCATCTCAGATCTCACACTCCCCAACCATGCAAATGGAAAACACCGTTGTAACCGACCTCGAAACCACTCCTCCACGTCCACCAGTTCAAGATCTGGGAACCCATCGCCCCAAAACCAACTCCCGGAAGCGGAAGAAGGAGGTTAATTCCAAGATACGAAGTCCCGAAGAGAAACAAGCTCAAATCGAAACCCTAGAAAAAGAGCTCGAAGGGTTGTTTGGGTACTACAGGGAGGTTTTGGGTAAGAAGGTTGCTGTTGACCTCAATCAATGTGGTGGGTCAAGAAACGCGGTTGTTGCGGCGTTGATGGAGGAGAGTGAGCTTCCGTTGTCGAAGCTTGTGGATGAGATTCATGGGAGGCTGAACAGTGAGGTGGCGAATGGGGGAGTTGTGTTGGCGGAAAGTTTTAACTCCGCGTTGGTGAAGAGTAGTTTGCTGTGTGTTGGGCAGAGGATGATATACGGAGTGCCCAATGCTGATGCTGATATACTAGAGGATCATTCCGATTCTTGTCTTTGGTGTTGGGAGGTGATTCTGATGTTTCTTTAATTATTGATTATTGATGTTTGTTTTCAACTGCGTTGATAATTTGCTAACCCTGTCATATTTATTGTTTAATTTTATTGTATATCATACTATGTTTTTGTAAATCAATGTATTTTTGGAGTCTGGTAGTAGTAATGGATTTCTTGTGCTGTTATTGCAGACTAGAGATGTTAAGTTGCTTCCAAAATCTGTCCGAGGGGAGCTTGTTATCCGGCGTACAATGCGAAAAAAGATTAATGAGAGGATTATGGCTGTAACTGGTATGCTTTCTTTGACGATGGATTACTTCAAATATTAATACTTTTGTCACAGTTTGAATGTTATTAGTTGATTTGTTCCTTTTTATTGCAAAAGAAATATGCTGTTGATAGGGGTATTAAGTTATTAGTGTGAATGGTATTTGTGATGATTGCACGTATTGATCAATTTCTGGGAAAATGACAACTTTGTTTACAATGTATTTTGTTGAAATGTCATTTCTTTGCAGAAATGATAGTGTCACTCAAGAAACATGAAAGCGAGCCTAACTATAGTCAAGACTTAATTAAGGCCTCAAAAAAGCTGAATAAAACTTCCACTGGGGCTGACATTCAGTTGATAGTTGAAGGCTTGTTGCAGAAAAACAGTGAAGACATGTATGTTCCCACCCTAACGTGTTTTGTTTCTACTGCAATTATATAAATTGTGTGTTTTGATTTTTTCTTTCTAAATTATAACTGTAGGGATAAGAAAAAAGCAAGCCAAGAAGAAAAATTGCTGATTAAACAGTTGGATAGAAATAGAAGAGAAGCTGAGAAAGCTGAGAAAGAGAGGGAGAAAGCTGTGAAAGAGAAGGAGAAAGCTGAAGCAAAAGAGAAAGAAAAAGAAAGCATGCAGTGTGATCTGAACACAGAAACAACTGCCATTGTAAGTGCTGTTTTGATTCCATTTTATACTGTTTATAGCTTCAGTTACTTACTTGATGACTGGTGTTGCTCTCGTTGGCTGTGAAATTGTGTTTTCTATGTATTTAAGTCATAGTTTCCAATTTTCCATTACAGCTGTCCTAAGATAATAAATATCCAAACCAGAAAACCGATAGTATTTGCAAGAAGTTGAAGTAGGATTGGCAACTAACTTTGCAGACATCTTTATAATTATTTGTTCTGTTGGATAACCAATATCTATGACTAGATATATTTATTCTTAATTTTTTTGACTTCTTCATTCATCTAATAAAAAGATTCATGTTTGACTATTGACGACTTTCCTTTATTCCAACTGCCAAATTCATCTAGGAAACTAGTATGAAATTGTCCCAAGGCGAGGTAAGAGGTGACGAGAAATGTAGTGAACAGAAAAAACAACAAAAGAGGCTGGTTGAGGAAGCAGAAAAAGATCAGCGGCGTCAAGAAAAAGAAGAAGCTGAGTTAAAAAAGAAACGTAATTTACAAAAGCAAGTCTCGATCATGGAACGATTTTTGAAAAGAAGTAAGCCTAATCCTTCTGTTCAGAGTGACAAAGTTTCAGTTGAGCCAACTGCATCTGATTTGATAAGCAGCAAGGATGAAAACCTGTCTAAGTCAGCTACTCTCTTGATGGATGATGTTCTTGCATCAAGTAGTGATATTACACCAGAGGATCTTCGCAGGTAGTACGGTTTTACCCTTACCATTACATCAAAAGTTCATGTTGTACCTGTACCATTTACTATATACCAAAATTAAATTACCCAGTTAAAATTGGGTACATATCAATACAAAATTAAGTATATGTTTATTTTTTACTATGAAGAAATATTAAATTGTATTTTCGAACTCTTTTTTTGCTGATGTTGATATTTTTCCAATTATATAATGTATATTCTTTCCATATTTATACTATATAAATAACATTTTCTGACTCCTCTTATTTAAATAATCTGTTATCACCATTATTTCCTTGATTATGTGTATTTATTTCTTAATTATATTTTAATTTGTTATGTAGTATTTTATGAACGATGCTTTGTTGTATGCATTTTTGTCAAAGATTACACTTACAAAAGAGGTTTCCTTGAATATTTTAATTTATCATGTAGTTACTTTGAATGATGCTTGGTTGTATGTATTTTTGTTAAAGGTTATACTTATAAGAGATGCTTCCTTGTATATTTTTTAACAAACCTGTACATCTGTTTTTCTAACAATCCCATACCTGTACCATACTGTATCCAAGCAACATAGGTTTACCTTTCTCTTTGATCTCAGCAGAGCTGTTTTCTGATCACACATTCTCTTTGATCCAAAGATGTTTTCAGATCTTAAAAAACTGCCTCACTCTGCAGGTCACACTTTTCTTCATGGCGCTCTCTAGGACAATCAATTCGCTCAAACAGAAAACAGAGATGGGGTTTACGTCAGAATCCCAAGATTGAAGCTGTTGACAAACTTAAGCTTACAGATAGTAAAGCTGCAAGTCAGGACTATGAGTTGGGCATGGAAAAGGATGTAGACCAATTGGAAGAAAGTAGTCCAGATCTTAATTCATGCTTGTTGAATGCAGACAACACTAATCTTGATACCAAGAAGTACTATCGAGGAAGGCAATTATTACAGTTTGATAATGCTCCTAGACCAGCCTTTTATGGGTTTTGGCCGTCTAAAAGGTTAGACCCTGCTCCAGTATTGGATTTCAGATTGACTTTTAATAGGCTATGGCCTATGTCCATACTTAAAAACTAGAGAACTCCAAACTCAACTAATTTGTTTGTCGGTCTCTTCTAGACATGCAGATGTTTAGTCACTACTTCTAAAGCCTTATTGTTTGGTTAAATTAAATCATTGTAATTGCTTAAGATCTTATATCATTAGTAATTTCTTGTATGGTAGATGTCTGGTTCTAGTATATCTAGTTGAGGTTGCTTATGTGTTAAAATTTGTATTTCTAGTCATGTCGTTGGAGCACGCCATCCTTTAAGGAAGGATCCAGGCCTTGATTATGATGTCAGCAGTGATGAGGAATGGGAAGAGGTGCTTTGAATATCTGAATCTAATTTTATTAATGTATGTAAAATGTATTTGATCTGCTAACACTGTTCTTTATTTTTAAGGATGAACCTGGTGAAAGTCTTTCAGATTGTGAGAAAGATGAAGAGAAGGATGAAGAGGAATGTCAAGAGGAATGTTCAAAATCTGACGGAGAAAGTGAAGATGGATTTTTTGTACCAGATGGATATCTTTCAGACGATGAGGTAGTTGATGTTTATACTGTTGCAAGTTTTCTTTTATATTTTGCAATTAAATGATTTTAGTGAATAATGTTAACCTTTTGGTGTCTTGAAACTTGTGCATGTTATGCTTATTTTTATTTAATGTTTTATGATCCAATATGACAATCTGTGACATGTGTGGCATCAAATGTTCTGAGATATCTTTGTCGAGCACTTGTACTAACAATTGACATCTGTTCTGTAAACTTGAAGGCCAGTGCAATCTATTAATGAAGTCTGCATTTATATGTAGGGTGCACAATTGGACAGAATGGAAACAGATGTTAGCCATGCAGAGGCTGATAGCTCACCTTGCTCTAAGGATGACATAGAGGCTGAGGAATTTTGTGCTTTACTTCGACAGCAGAAATATCTTAACAATTTGACAGAGCATGCTCTTCGTAAAAATAATCCTGTGATTATACCAAATTTTGTCCTTGACAAGGACCTTTCATTATTGGATCACAATATTAGCGGCATTCCTAAGCAGGAGCTGATGTGCTTGCAAGCCTTGAGTATGTACACAATTCCCGGTGGCTCATATATAGAATTAGAATTATTGACAGATAAAATTCAAGATGAAGACCAAGAAGCATCTCCTTCTACTGGCAAAGGTGCTGCTACTCCACCGTCTGATTTGGCTGCTATACCAGACACAGATCTACCTACAATTGTAAGTTCTTATTTTGCACGGCCCTTGCTAGAGATAGGTTGATTTGGCAACACTTCCCTTATCCCTTTATCTCGCTCTTATGAAGTTGCAGCTGATTTTATGATACCCTGCAAATTTTATCACTTTACATTGATTTTATTGGTCTTTCAGGTGACCACTATTCAGGGTTGTTCTCAGGGCATAAATAAACTGTTAGGGTCTTTGCAGCAAAAATTTCCTTCTGCATCTAAGGCATCACTAAGGAATAAAGTACGAGAAGTATCAGAATATGTTGATAACCGTTGGCAGGTTTGTGAGGGTGGAGAACCCACATTCTAGTGATTACTGCTAATTTTTATAATGCAATTCATTAAAAGTTGGTGGCTAGATACAAATGTCAAGGGACTAAATATTGCCAGGCACCCAGTGGTATAGTTGGCTGTATCAATCCCTTAAACCTTTTGCAGCTGTAGTTAGTTGTGACTGTAGATATCATAGTAGCTCTGCTCACCAAAAGATCTAGGCATCTTTTGGGAGTTAGTAGCTCTGCTCACCAAAAGATCTAGACATCTTTTGGGAGTTCATATGAACTTAACCTGAATTGGTCCCTCATTGGGCTATCATGATTAAAGACTTCAAATAAAGTCAATAAAGGAATCTTTGGTTCTTATCTAGCCATGGATCCCAATTCCATAAACTAATTGCTTTTCTTCAGCCTATATGCCTCTTGCTGATTTATATGGGTGGATATATTAAACGATCTCATTTCTTTATTTGGTTTACTAGGTAATTTGATGTTAGCTTATTAATGTTGAATTTGTGCTCCACATGCTGACATTATTTGGAACTCTTGTGAAAACAATCAATGCTGTTTTGATTTAACTTAGGAATAATCAATTATGCTGTGACCACACTCTAAAACTACTTTTTTCCTGTATGATTGAGTTTTGTACTAATTAGGCTGAGTTTATGATTTTATATTTCTTTAGGTGAAGAAAGAAGTATTGGTGAAGCTTGGCTTGTCTGTTAAACCTGGTATGATATCCTGGCTTTTAAGAATTTAACCCATTCTTTGATTTAGTTGTTTTCTTTTCTATATTAAAAACGAAAATATGTGGTTGAACTGACAGAAAAGAGCAGTGGTGGACCAAGAAGTATTGCTGCATTTTTCTCCAAAAGGTGTTTGCCACCTGGGGGTGAAAGTGTGAAACCTGGTGAAACTTCACCACTGACACCCCTGAAATCACGTTCTGCCATTCAAGATTCACAAGCCAGCAGATCATAATATATAGTATCTGATATTTACCGAAAGAATGGCATTTTGTCTACTTGTAGCCTTTTTGTAAAAATTAGAGATGGTGGTTGTGCTTGACGCCCTTTTACCACTAAGAAAGTTTCTGAATATCATATGCCAACATTGTCTCACTTTTCTGTAATGTTGACTATATTGTAAAGTGTAATACTGTTTCCTACAGTTTCAAGTCTCTTTTGCTACTCTTTATGAGATGTTATGCTATCAAATTAAAAGATACTTTCAGTCCCTTAGATCTTATTCAATGTTTTAGTTCTATATCATTTATAAGATCCAATTTGGTTGGTAATTATCATGTGGTGTAATGTTATGCAATCAAATGAAATTATACTTTTAGTTCCTTGTATTTTATTCAGTTTTTTAGTCCTTAATAGTTTGTAAGATTCATTTTGGCTTGTTAATTATCATGCGGCATTTGCTCTATGTCAAAAAATGTTCACAATATCTTATTTAAAAAGCCCTTAATTTGAGGCAGGGTTTTCATTTTCTTCACTACCAAAAAAAAGTATAACTTGATGGAACTGTGTTCTTGCTTGAGAATAAATATTGAACACCCTTTTCAACTTTCAGAAGTTTATACTAGACACAATCATTTCTAAAGGACGCAAGGTCTCGTTAATAAATTACACTCCATTTTTATTTATAAACAAATTTTTATATTTTAGATTTATTAAGTAATTAATGCTGCTTATATATATATATATATATTGGATAAGGCAACCTTATTGATGATGTACTTATCATATTAGTGTTTGGTTAGAATTAATAATGATGCACTTCTCAGATGCTTAAGTTAGTATGTATTAAAGGCGGAGATCAGCTTTAAAATAATATATATTTTGAGAGATGTGATGAAAGTCTTATATAATTTTAAAGATACGATATTAAATATGTGTCAATCTTGAGTTGCTTCTAAATTTTTAGGTGACAAAGTTATATGATGATTCGAGTTTGGTATTTTTCCCTTCATTTATAGCTGACGAAATTCATTTTAGGAGTCACACTTGAATACATAAGATTTGCTTTAGCGATGTCCTAGTTGGTTGTCGCGATACCTCTTTCCTGAGGGCCGTATATGCGTAATTATGAGTCCTTTGTTAGGAAGTTGTTGTATTTTAGATTGGTCCGATGATGAAGTTAACTCGTGAATATAACCTTTTTTATTAATGTATTTTTAAATCCATATTATCATCTTGGAGGATGCGTGACTCTTGAAGGTCGTGCTTTGATCTTGTCTTTTTATGTGTGGTGTTGTTGACATCCTAACATTTCTAAGAATAAGTCATCATTCAAGATGTAAATATTATTGTGTCTGACCTCAAGGAGGAATAATTATATCAAGGTGGACATGTTGTCATTAACCTTTATGTATCAGTGGCTAGTAGTTAAGAAGTGGGTGTACCAAAAAGTCTAAAGTTTTCATTGAACCAATTGTAAGAGATTAGAAGGAAAATTAACCTTACTAAAATTGAGGGCTAAAATTCTCACTCAACCAAAGATATGAGTTTGGAGGGAGAACTTACTGAAATTGTGAGCTAGAGTTCTCTCTAAACAAAGCGTAAGAGGTTGAAGGGAGTCAATTAAAATAAAATGTCACCAAAGTGACCTCTTTTTACGAGAATGCTTATAAGAAATATTCCGACATAATCCAGGCAAGATCAAGTCTTAATTATCATAATTTGATTTCCATTAAGTATAAAGGCAAAGGAAATATAAGGGAATACAATATGAGCATGTTCAATATTGTTTTAAAACTTAAGACACTAAAGCTTAAGCTGTCGGAAGACATACTCATTCATTTAGTATTACTTTCTTTTCCTCACACTTTGGCCAATTTAAGATATCTTATAATTATTAAAAGGAGAAATTGTCTTTTAATGAGCTCATTTTATTTTGTGTGCAAGAAGAAGAAATGCTGAAACAAAATAAGGCAGAAAGTTCTCGTTTTGTTCGCACCTCTAAGGACAAGGGAAAAAGAAAGAAAACTAATGTGCCTAAGAACGAAGCTGCAAATGTTCCAACATAAAATAAACAAAAAACATGATAATAACGACTTCTTTTGTAAAATGTTTGGACATTTGAACCTAAATATCACACTTGGCGTGCAAAGAAAGGTACATTTCATACTTTGGTATGTTCTGAGGTCAATTTAGCTTCAGTACCTTGAAACAGTTGGTGGTTAGACTCTGGTGTAACTACTAACAACAATGTTTCAATGCAGGGTTGCTTGAATGTTGAAAGTTACATCTATGTTGGAAATGACAAGTCGATGGAGGTGGAAGATGTAGGTAATTTTAGATTATTATCGTGTACTGGAATTTATTTGGTTTTGAACGACACATTTGTAGTACCATCATTTAGACAAAATTTAATTTCAATTTCTTATTTGGACAAATCAAATTATTTATGTTCATTTAGAAACAATATGTTTAAGTTGTCTTTTAATCAAATATTATTGGAACTGGTTCACTTAAGGGTCATGATAATCTATATTTGCTTGATGCAGTAGCTACCTATGGCAAATCCTTAAATGTGGAATCACGTGGTACTAGGTGTAAAATTGATAATAAAGATTCAGGAGCATTATGGCACAAGAGCCTAAGTCACATATCTAAAAATAGATTCCATTGACTTAACAAACTTTGATGTTTGTGTTGATTGTGTTAAAGGAAAACTGACCCAAACAAAGAAATTTGGTGCATATAGAGCTACATATGTCTTAGAATTGATACATACGAACATTTATGGATTATTTCCCACACCTTCTTAGAATGGTCAACAATACTTTATATCATTCATAGATGATTATTCTAGATATGCATACATATTTCTTATACATGAAAAGTATCAATCGTTGAATGTGAACTAACAAAAGAATTAAGAAAGTAAAATCTGACCATGACCGTGAATATGACGGTTCAGGTGAACAACGTCTAGAGCCTTTTGCCAAATACCTATAAGAATAAGGAATTGTCCCACAGTACACCATGCCAGGGTCACTTAACATGAACGATGTGACTGAAAGAAGAAACCAGACTCTTAAGGATATGGTATGCTAGAGGATGCAAAATTTATGATCCTAAATTAAACTCAATTTTTGAGATGAGAACAACCATATTTTCGTGGATATTTAGTTTGGGGTGGGGGGTGGGAAGAATAAGGTTAAAGACTTTGTTTTATAAGAAGAATTAATAACATTTCAAGAACTGATTCATACATCTCCTTTTAATCAAGCAAGTATTAAACCTCCACAAGAAATTGTCGAATTTCCTCCTACTCAAGATGATTTGGTAATTCATCCAAAACAAACAAAATCTGAAAGAACAAGTGTTACAAGAACAAATACCTTTGCGAAGATTCACTAGACAAAGGATAAATTCTATTCCGAATGATTACACAGTCTTTCTCCAAGAACATGAGGAAAATAATGGTATGATGAAAGATGGTCCACTTAACTTCTTCCAAACCATGTAGGATTCCAACTCAGAAAAGTGGATTGAAGCAATGAAGGAGAAGTATATTCCATGTAAGACAATAAGGTTTAGGAAATTGTCCCATTACCAGAAGGTGTGAAACCCATTGGTTGCAAATGGATTTTCAAGACCAAGCAGGATTCTAATGGTAATGTGGAGAGGTATAAGGATCATCTTATAGCTAATGGTTATACCCAAAAGGAAGGAATTGAATTTAAAGAGACTTTCTCTCCAGTTTCATCAAAAGACTCTTTTAGGACAATCATGGCTCTTGTTGCACATTATTATTTGGAACTCCACCAAATGGATGTCAAGACGACATTCCTCAATGGAAACATTGATGAAACAATCTATATGGTGCAACCACAAAACTTTGTGTCGGGAGACTAAAAAAAAATGGTTTGAAAACTTAAAAAATCCATTTATAGACTAAAGCATACATCTCATCAGTGGCACCACAAGTTTTATGAAGTAATTTTCTCATTTGGGTTTGAGGTGAATGTTGTTGAAGATTATGTGTATCATAAATTCAGTGGAAGCAAGTACATATTCTTGTTCCTGTATATTGATAACATACAACTTGCCGCCAATGATATAAGCATGATGCATGAAACTAAGACATTTCTATCAAGAAATTTGAAATGAAAGATCTTGGCGACACCTCCTTTGTATTAGGAATTCAGATACTCCGAGATTGATCTCGAGGTATTCTAGGATTATCATAAAGGAGCTATATCAAAAAGGTACTTAAAATGTTTGATATGCAGGAGTGTGAACCAGGGGATACTCCAATTTTTAAGGGAGACAAATTAGTCTCAGTCAGTGCCCAAAAGGAAACTTAGAAATTCAAGAAACGCAAAAGATTCCTTACGCGTCAAGTCTATGGAGTCTGATGTATGCCTAAGTCTATATGCGTCTAGATATTAGTTCATAGTTGGGATGTTAGACATATATTTGTGTAATCCAGAAATGAATATTTGGAAAGCAGCAAAAAAGGTAAAGATGTATTTAAAGAGAACAAAATATTATATGCTCACATACAAGAGGTCAAATCAGTTAGCGGTCACTGGATACTCTGACTCAGATTTTGCTGGATGCCAAGATAGTCAAAGATTCACTTCAGAATATATCTACATGTTGGTTGGTGGTGCAATTTTTTGGCGCAGTACCAAGCAAACTCTTACAGATTCATCCATCATGACAGCGAAATTTATAGCATGCTATAAGGCATCCAACCATGAGATTTGATTGAGGAACCTTGTCACTTGGTTTTGAATTGTGGAAGTAATTGAAAGACCATTTAAGTTATGTCGTGACATTAAATTAGCCATCATATATTCCAACAATAATAGGAGTTCAACCAAGTGAAAACATATCGTCATCAAGTTCCTAGTTGTTAAGGAAATGGTATAAAGTAGACATATTTACATAAAACACTTAGGGACAAACTCCATGGTAATAAATCCTCTTACAAAATATATTCCACACAAGGTCTTTCAT